GGGCACTATGTATTGAGATTTAGATGGTAATTGGAGGTAGTCAACAGGAAACCCTGGACCCGGGTTTCGTGCTACTTGGCACTCGTCAGCAAGGTGTACCTGTAATCTTGAGGGAACTGGTGCTCCCTGGCGGATTCGATCTCGTGTCACCCAGCTTCACAGTCACAGCATGACATTGATCACCACCCAGTGATCAATCAATTGTGATTACATCTCAGTCCTACAGGAGGTTAGTCGCGGCTCGGATAGCTCAGTGGTAACGTCTGTAATTGTGAAGCTGGGTGACACGAGATCGAATCCGCCAGGGAGCACCAGTTCCCTCAAGATTACAGGTACACCTTGCTGACGAGTGCCAAGTAGCACGAAACCCGGGTCCAGGGTTTCCTGTTGACTACCTCCAACCACCATCTAAAGCTTTGACTTCCCTCCAACTATTCCTTAATTTCATTCACAATAAGACGTCTCCCAGGAAGCACGAAGAGACCTACAGAGTTTCTGAAAAGGCTAAATATATTCCAGTTGACCAGAACGGGACAGAACTTTCTAGAATATCAACCAGACATGTTGTTATTGAACAATAATATAAATTCATATTCGTGCAAGTAGATATCCCTCGTTTTATGTGTTGAAGAAATCATACTATTGGCTGCAGTATGTCTTTACTCATATACTGGAACATGAAAGTTTGAGCTCGAAGTTTTATATTTTAAACACACAATGTTTTGAACATTCAGTATGGACTTAAAGGAAATATAATTAATACCAAAATTTAGAAAGTGAATAAACATTGGAACTATAATGTTTAACATTATCACGATATTTTGGGCTAACTTCTAATCAAGCCTAAACTGTTAAATCAGCTTCCTCCTAGAATTGACATTCATAAATATGTAGATTTCTTAAACAAAAACGTGTCATTTTAGTTTCCGAAGACTAGTGGGGAATCACAAACTCGTCCAGTTTTTGACCTTGCTTGTACACTGAATGATGACCACAATTCAATCAATATTCAGGTATAGCCTGCAAATGTCACGTAATTTACTAGCTTGTTATCTTAATTCTATATCCTTTATCTTCCATCCACAAATTATGGCAGATGAATTGAGCGTGTCCTCTATGTTAGATTTAGAGATAATAAAACAATGGCAGGTAGGAAAATGAAACGCGAATACCTAAAGAAGTGCCTCGAGTGGGATACTCAAAACCTTGTCTGCTAAAGGAACTTCGCCTTAAAACAATAGTAATAATATGAACCTGTTAGAACGTCGATTCGTCACATACCACGACTGAATACATAAACTCGAGTTTGTGACGACCGCCAGTAGATTTTGCATCCAAACTACACATTTCTATTCTATTCATTCATTCTGATAATCCATACATAACCTGTGTTACAGATCATGAAATCATTCTCCTTAACAATTGAGTGGTTTGTGAATGATTGATCAATGTGAAGGATGAGATCAAATGTTGAACAGATAGTGAAAGTGTGGAGAATGGTAAAGGTATTTGATTTCAGTTCAGATCTTCATGGTGCTAAATAAACCTGATTATCCCACATGTTGTTCCCTGCTTTTTTCTTCTTCACTACAATATTAGACTTGTCAATTATGTTTTTTGCCCGCTTGTTTACAGAAAATATATTTCAAATATTTTGCACATTTAATCACTAATATTTTCAAGAAAAATTGCAAACATACCTAAAAACACTTAAAAGATATATGAAGGCCCTATTGTTCCACGCACACAATAACTCATAATACGCTTCAATACGTTACTAACTGTAGAATTTGTATGAATTCTTCTCCCAGTCAATCATTAGCGTCCGCTTTATTGGTCTATCATTGATATCTCGTTATGTCGAGTGTCCTTTGAGTAAAACGTGTTCGATGTAATCGTGAAACACAATATTCAAACGAATAAATAAACATAATATTGATTTATACATTGAAACAATAGTAAACAAATTCAGATTTATTTGGAGCAAAAACAGAAGAATAAAATTGATCCAAATATTTTGGAAAACAGTAAACAACTTCACACATATGTGTAAGTCATTATCTCATAACTTTCTTTCATATAAAACCGCCGACTGAAATAAATTTTATCAGAACACTCGTAGAGTATGTAAGGTTATCCATAACAGAATAGTGAATATTTCTTGGTCCATTTATTAAGTGATGTTGTGTTAACTCAATACTGTGTGAGAGTGTAGATATTTCAGTGCAATAGCACTGGGGCATACCATCGACATTCTTCAAGTTTTTAAAATTATTAGCAGATAAAGAAATACCGCTTCTCCTCCGTTCGCTGAAGTGATTGCGACAAAAACTCAAAACTGATCTATGTATTCAAAAATATGCAATAATAAACCTTGTGCTACCCTGGTAATTCAATTTTTGGTCGTTAGTTTTATTTTGTTAATGTTTAGTTTGTTATATTTCGCTTTCATTATCGAATTCTTATTTTCTGTACATTTAAACCACCACCCTTCACTCATACATTTCCACTCACTCAATTCTCCTAAATTATGCGAACTCATCAAATCTTGTTTATTTATTACGCAACCCATCTTACCAGCTTTTCAATTCTAGGAATATTGAGCAAACCCTTCATTACCTCTAAAATCATCACACAACTCATCTTATCTGTCTCTGAACTTCACTCAGTTATTACATCATCCACCCCTCACATTTCTTGATTCTAACACTGAGTGACCTCCGACCTGTTCTTGCACACACATATATATAGTTATTATTGATAACCTTTGTTATTCCAATTCTTCACATTCACTTATGTCAATTGTTTCACACTATATCTTACATCAATGTGGAATTTTAATACATATTTGGTTGTAATCGGCTGATGAGAAACCACGAAATATAACGAATTCATATTATTCTGCAACCATGTTCGTTCTGGGATTATTTAAATTCATGAAGGGAACTAATTGTATGAAATTATTGATAACTGTCGACCTCCAGAAACTTCTGGAGGTATACTAAATTTGGTAATTGAGCAAGTAAACATCCTAACAGAGCTCGACACATAACCCGTCAATATTCTAAGCTTTTGTGACGTATGTTAATTGGAAAAATGTTCTTATTCTCTTACTGGTTCCTGAAAGACTGATGGATAAGTTCTCGTAAAGATCTCAACAACTACCATTAAAATTTTATTTATCATGTAATATTTCACATATTACTGTCTGTTCTCATTACAATGAGAAATAAAAAGTAATTATTATCCAAACTAATTAATTATGATTCAAATGGAGTTTTGTTCCCTGAGCTGGATGGTTTGGTCATGGAGCCTTCAGCGTTATTCTGAACGGCACCATCAGCACAAATTCCACGACCAAACCATCCAGCTCAGAGAACAAAACTCCATCAAAATCTTCCATCTGAGCTACAAATCTCCTCCACCATCTCATAATTATGATTTGAATATTTTCTCAAAATGATATTATTCTTTTTAATTAACGGTGTACACTAAAAGAACATACCTGGTCTGAATAACATTATTGTCGTGTAACGTATTTTATATAATACACACATACTCGTATACAATGAAAAACAACATAAAGTGGTATGAAATACTGGAGATGGCATCAGTAAGAAAAGAATTACTAGTTTCAATTCCCATAGTTAGAGAACAAAACTGAACTGGTTTGAGGATAAACAGGATAGACTAATGGGATTATAAGAAATTGTTGTTCAGATGTACTAAATTGTCGGACGGTGATAGCTTCTACAAACCTAGTAATATCCTAATTGGCAATTCCTATTATAAAGATTTTTTCAAGTTATTTCTAAGGTCAATCATATGACCTGATATAACTAGAAACAAATAAACAATAGTAACAATATAGAATCCTCATAATAACGACCATAATAATAATCATTGCTATTATTATTATTATTATTCAGGATGCAATAGAATAATATTCATTGCATGTAACTGGATCAATTAAATTTGTAGTAGTATGAGGGTATTGTATTAATACCCGTATCATTGTATTAGTAGTGTGGAACATTAAAAGATCATAATTTATTGATGAATAAGTCCTATACTTAATTTATTCTTAGCTTGTCAATCGGATTCATAGAGAAGCAATGATAATGACTACAAGTTATTTATTTATTTACTTGAGTATGCCTACACTGCAAATACTAACGCACTGTCATATGCAAGCAAACGATTTGATGTAACTTGTTTATCAAGTGTAGATTGGTATACGTTATGTCTGCATCGCCTATTACTTATACGGCGAAAATGAGGAACCAATGCAATTTCTACGACACCAAATAACAACACACAACACTGATACAAATGGAGATTTACTCACCCCAAAAACACTACGATAACTCTAGTCGAAAGTACACTCATTTATATAATCATTTGTACACCCATCTGATTAGTAATTAAAGAAAAGTCACATGTATGGAAATTATTCAGAATCATAAGACATCACATGTTGCATATCATGCTGAACATATGTTACATGCAAACGAAGAATAAATGAATGGTGACTACTGAGAATTACATATGAGTTATCATTACATATATTCTTATTGCACGATTGTTAAGTAACTAGGGTATAGATATATAATTAAATGTTTCAAAAGATGGTTAAGTAATTAATTGAAATATTGTTTGAAAGTACATACCGAAAACTAAACACATAGACAACAGAAGTAAATGATGTACAAATCGCTATGATGAATAGCGAATAGAAATTCTTTTATTCGATCCATCAATGATACTAAGTTATCTACATATGGATGTAATTTTCTGTGCATTTGTGAATATTATACAGATTTGACTGTGTATATAACAATGTTGAACTTGAGACTACATCAGTGTTTTCTTTCTTGATTACTTCTATACTTAAATGAAAGTATCATTCAATATAAAACTAGTTTTGTCTCACAGTGTAAAGAACTAGGTTATACAATATTTAAGGGTAAGAAAAACAGGCAATTGAATCTTAAAAAAACTTATTTTAATGTAATTAAAAAATGTGTGTAGTGTTGCTTCTCAGAATAGGCTGAAACTTCATATTTTACAGAATTCAATCCATCAGTGAACATACGACTGGCAGCATTTCTTACTGAATCAAGTACTAAACGTCTATTCGCTCGAACCTGTTTAGTGTGAGGCTGAGCCAGATATCTGCCTATTGACGTTTCAATGTGTTTATACATAATTTTTGATGCTTTCAGTCGCCTCTCCAAATCATCGTCCTCTCCACCCCAACCCCAATAACTATTCGAATAACCATTAACCTGTATAAAGTGTGAAGTCGATATTTTCAAAACACCACCGATCAATGATTGGTAAGGTAAAACATAATTCCATGAACTCACTCCAACACTCAAATGAACCACACTCCCCATCATCTCTTCATCACAACCATGTGGTATTCTATCATCCAATGGTATTAAGTCGGCATCATGAAATATAACACAGTCGAAATCGAAACGTTTACGTGCTTCAATAAAACCAATGTTCATCAACTGAGCTTTGTTCAAAATACCAGTACCCTGTTGTTCAATAACAAATATTTGATAACACAAATGTTGTCTCTGGAGAACTGGAATCAGAGCGGACAATGTATTATTCAGTTGTTTCCATCTATCTCTACAAACAATGATGATTGCTACACCGGATTGTGGAACATTGTTGCAATTCGTCGTCTCCTCCTTAAACATCCAACCGCCACCAAGATCATGTGAATAAAATGTGTCGTTGATTGGGTTCATCTCTTCATTGAATTCACCATTGAATGGCATTTTCCCAATTGGTTTCAATGCACTCACCTTACTCGATGGAATACTGTCAATATTCTTACAAATAGTACGACATGTGTGTTTGCAGTTAATGTGTGCCATATTGCGTACAATAATTGCTTGTTCAGTGCGATTTCGTAAGGTAACATATTTGACAGTTGTACGCATGAAATATATTTGTAATATGAAAATTATACAAAATGTTAATCCGAATGCTTTCAGAATTGCATAGTAGATTCTGAACGATGATTTCTTCTCGGTAAACATTTGATTATACAATCCTTGTGTTTATAAAACACAATGGTAACAACGGTAACAATAACAAAAATAAACGTTGAAGAATCAAGTGCTTATTATCTAGTTAACATTTTAATTGAGACACTGAACCAATTGATTTTGAGTATTATATTGACCAATTGAATTTTGACTTTTGTTTATAATGGTTAGTTAAAGTTTAAGATTATTTCTCTATCACAGAATAACATTGCAGTAAAGACCAATAAAAGTTTGAATTCAGTAAATTGTCATTTTAACATAGATCTATACTGTCGTCTGTTCTTAACTGCCACTTCTCAACTCATTCCCCAGGTGCTCGGGTGTGATCCACACTATAAGCGCGATGTTCAACCATAATCCTCAATCGTTTAAACAAAGTATTTAAAGAGGACTTTGAACCTGCAGTTAAGTAGCTGGAAGTCGAACGCTACGATCACTAAAATATCACTCTACAAGGGATTCAAACTCCATACTTATAACCTATTTATTATGAGATTAACCGAAGTTGTTTCTTTGAATGGGTCTGACATAAACTTTTGTTGGCTCAACCATTAGATCATTTCTTCGTGGGTTGTAGCGCTCTTTTGCCATTTCCAGATTATCATAGAGCCTCAGTGAATAATGGTATTTTATGCTTGCGATCAACATGGAGGGGTAGAAGTTTTTCTATGATGAGAAAGTATCAACTCGGCTTTCATCTTGTGATTGTACAGCTATCATGTTCATAACCGTTATGTGAGAGACGGAAATCAAGTTAATCAGCACCAAATATTGAAACCAGTACAAACAAACAAAATAGGTTCCTACAGGTCAAAAGTTGTAACACGTGAAGTCTTATCAAAAAGATTATAACATGATTTTGAGGTATCGTGGAAGGTATTTAACCTTCTGAGAAGCGCTCCAGTTATTCTCTCCTTTCAATTCATCTCATATTGTATTTCGAAGTATCTTCATTTTTTGTGAATTAGTTCTTGCTAGAAATATGTTGATTGTCCTCATGATCCAAAGATATTTTCAGATGTTTGTGTTAAATAATATGCAATAAATTATTCATGTAAAGTTCAATATAATTAAGGTTCCTTTTGAACATACCTCTTTTGACTGATGAAATACTTAATGAATACCTACTAATCAGCATAGTAAAATGATATCACTATGTAGTCTAGCTCAGATCCTATCAGAGAAGCTACTGAGATCTACCTGTGAATTTGAAAGTGATTTCTCTGGTTAGCTGGCCTATAGTGGTTATTTTCTATGGGGTGATGTTGCGAACCCTATTCCCAACTCTTCTTCTTTATTCGGGCTTCAGGTCGGTAGTAAGCCTAAATGGGCTACAAGCGTAGTTACTCAATATCTGTTGACTGAATGTCATCAAAAACAACCTACTGTGGCGGAGAACAAACCAAATTCCAGGTGAAGAGGAAATGAGAAAAAGACGCTGAAGTTGGGTAGAATATACACTGCAGAAACTTGAAATTCTGAAGGCTAATGGATAAGAGGTGGTCCGGTGGACACATTGTGCCGGGAATCGCAGTCAGACATCGAAGGAATGAATAGCACTTAGAAACAACTGCAAAGGAAAATGCGAGACAGAAATGGTTGGCGAATCTTTGTCAGCGACCCATGCTCCAGGAGGGGCAACATTCGTGAGTAAGTAACTGACGAATTTGAAATGATCGAACGAAAGGTCGTTCAAGTCAAGAATCTTTACTGTCCCACTAACCATTCTCTAAATTACAGTTCCTGTTGTTGGTCACTAGTCATTTATTCGGTTGAACGCTACCTATGATGATGTTCCATTCACTAAGTGAGTTTTATGTTTGCGATGTTTAAAGAGTTTAGCTGAAGTTCTTGAATCTTCTTCATCACGATATTGAAAAACGAAATTGTTGGTGCGTTTTTCTACCTCTTTGATATTACTTGGATTCACAGATGTGATAGAAGTCAGGATAATTCAGACGAACTTTTCTGTTAAACTATGAGACTAAGAGTTTCGTGGATCTGTGAATCGATGACGGCATCCAATTTAAGTAAGCCAGCTGTTAAACTTTTCCTGTGAAATCTGTATGTGGTTTCATTTTAGGCACTTAGTGCTCACTAGTGAAATCATAAGCACCTTAATCTAAATTCGCTTCTGGACCATGGCGGTGAATTGACAATTAAATTTTAGAGGCTGGTACTATACCAAGCCCATATAGGTTATTCTAACCTCTGAACAAACCAATCTATTCATTCTCTTTAAGTCACCATTTTATCTTGTCACTTATCCGCTTATCAGGTCTGACGTTTTTTATACGATTGTATGTGTGTTAATTATTTATCTTATTCATTGTGTTTGTATGAACAACGAGACACGCTCCAAACTCTAATGTAAATCCAGGCATCATTCATAAGTCCCAAGGACTAACTCAAAAAAGGGAAAATATAGCCAAATAGAAAATGAAGAGTTCGCTTTGTTATCTCCCGTCCGTCGTTCTTGCAAGCTTGTGCATGGCCGAAATTTTACGCTGTAAACATAACACAGCCCCTAGCTTGGTTTTTAACCCTAAGTCTTGGGTACTGGCACACACTACGAACCTGATACAGAGATGTGCTCTAATGTGAATACGATATGATTTCGAAATACGATACCATCAAACAGAATGATTTTGACAGACGGATACGTTGCTCTGAATGGTAAGTGAGCACCTGACAGAAGCCGAATAATCAATAACCCTTACGCCATCTACGAAGAATCGTGCATCAAATCACTTGTCCAGCACCATAGTTTGAGATAACGGATCGAGGCATTTCAGAGAGTCCTGCCACCGTCATACGATGGGTCACCAGATCATCCATAATGGAATGAACCTTTAGGTAAATGCTTTTTAAACATACGGGCAAAAGAACGGAATAAATACTGCGAATTCTCTTTTATTTAAATCGTGCCATCCTTAATGACGCAGCCCCCAATAAACTAATACCACTGTAATCCATAGTAAATCGAAAAAAATATTACTCACTCTCTCATGCTGCTGCAGAAATACTTTGAAATTCAAGAAAATCCCCTAGAATTCCAAGTTAGTACACCAGTATTGGCTCGTGACTGCCGGATCACTATGACTTTACGGTTGACTCATATATATATATATATATATATATATATATATATATATATATATATATATATGCAAGAAGAGTATTGTATGGAAGAACCAGTTGATCAGATATTACAATTAACCACATAAGAGAAATACTGCTAATCCAGCTCAAACCTTAAAATACCATCGCATATCTTTAGCATGACAAACCCAGAAAGATCAACATCTCAAGCGCCTGAGCACGATATACGAACACGAAGATGCGAAAAACTCTACCCAGTATATTTTCAATAACATTTGAACCATAGTAACCGCGTTTTCGTTAGAATTGTGTAATTACTTTGATTTATCAAAACAAGAACCCTACATAACCATCAATAAGTAGAATTACCGCCGAAATAATTGATGGTTGGTTTATTGTAATGACTTCTACATATCTGGCTGAAAATAAACAACATAAAACTGAAACCCAATAAAGCACAAGTTACCAGGTTTTTTCTAGAAATAGATTAGCTCACTTAAATTAGAAATAATAAATATGGTACTGATTTAAAATCGATATATTTGTCAGTTTAACGGGAAGATTTTGAAGAATGACTTGAATATTATATACTGTTTAATCAGTTGCTTATTTTGATAAGAAGAATTCACTTGAAATCCATAACTATTGACTATGAAGTTTATATTTCATGTACTACTGGTAAGTGTAACTAGTCATTGGAATTCTATGAAACATTTGCTCTGTATTTCAATTGCAATCCCTAGAACAACTCATTTCTGGTTAGTGTCATACTTCGTCATAAGAGACAGAGTGGTTGTCATGACAAGAGTGGGTGCTGATATTTCATATAACTATTGACAGATGTTCGGCATCCATATGGGAACAAATCAACAGAGATAATATAGTATCTGAAATAATAGTAAAAATCTAAGTAGGAATATTTCATGGACCTCATTGTTATTGTGTAGCGCATGCCTCTGTGCTCCTTTTTACCAATGTTTGTGTTCAAATATATAATAAATACAGATGACAAAACTTATGAGGAATGGTGAGACTGGGAAACCCTTGCCAACCTCACTGCTTGAATGGAACAGTGGAGAGAGGTGACTGTACATCCTCACTCTGCCTGAGGTGTATGTATATAGGGCTTCTAAGATGTTAATAAACTTTTCAGACACACAGTTCTTCAATAGACAATCCCACAGAACAGTCCTGTGCAACGAATCGAAGGCAGCCATAACGTTAAGAAACACTACAATTATTGACTTGGTATTGTTTATTTGAATTTTCCTATTGGTGTTTAAGACTAAAAGTGATCAGTCTCTTATTGGCCTATGTGCATGCCGTGTGGATTGCTTCGATATTGCCTTAATTCACAAGCATTATAGACAAACATGGATAGTGGCTAGCGTAGGAATCCAGGATGCGCGTTTCGTCTTGTTTGGAACTCGTCAACTATATGTACCTGCATCTCAGAGTTGATGTTCACTCCGGGACTCGAACCCAGTGCCATTCGCTTCAAACGTCATCGCCTTATCCACTTGGCTACTGAGTCCCGATAGCCACTTCCTTGTGCGATGGGGCGAAGTTTAAATTCGCGTGGTATTGTTTAACTGAATCTTCTCGGTATACGTAATTTCAGAAAGACTTTCAGTATTCGTATTCGTTGGTAACATTCAACTTTCCACCGGTCAGTGAGTCGAGATCATTTAGATAGAATAGGGGTTCCACCACAGGCGAGCTGCTGCATAAGATAAAAAATAAAATACGTAAAAGGGAAATAAATGGGAATAAATAAGACAGCATAAAACAAATAAAAATGAATTTTATTAAACGATTGTGAGTGAGATTTTTCTGAATGTAAGTTGAAGCAAAAATAATTTTTCCTGTAGTAATCAACATTTGGTTTGTGTGTGTGGGTTGTGATAGTGTCCGAGTGCCCAGATCGAAGTGGGTGATTTTCTTAGGGGACCAAACCCTGAGCCTTTGACCTACAGGTCCAATCCATAAGACAGTGGAGCAACGTGAGAAGATTTAGTCTCATGGCAGCCAGTGACTAACAATAGGTTTATATGCCATTTGGTTCTTCAGGATCCTGGAGCCCATGTGCACCATTGATTTGAAATCAGGGTTTTCCAACCCCCCGCCCATGAAGAGACAGAAGATGAATCAAGCAGCATAATGGAGACAGTTCCATCAAATGGAGCTCATCGTTCCACAAAAAAAGTTTCTGATCAATGTACTTATTGGAGTTCTCTAGTTCTATCAAATATGAGTTATCCTAATGACTCCTATGCTTTTGATCGCATTTACATAAATGAGAAAAATTTGTCGGATGCATCAAACGGTGATCAAGAACCTAATGAAATTTTGATAGATTCTGTTTATTCTAGTGATCTATTATCCACTAATGCAATTTCGAAGAGATCTAATGAAAATGACCTCATATCCAGTGTCGCTGATCCTCATCATCTAGTCAGTTCTAGTGAACTCTCTACTCAAATCGGGAAATATGCTTTAAATAGAGTCAAACTAACTGCAACTTGGGTATATGAAAACCTAACATAATTTCGCGGGGGAAGATGAACCCGGAAATTTTAAATCCGGATACCAACTCCGGATCTTCAAAAAGGGGAGGTGTTGTATCCCGATAAGAATAATGAATGGTAATTTTTGGGATCCATTTATGGACCAATATTATGAGTATAACTCCGCCTGGGCTCCCTCCGGGGGCTACTGCCGGTCCGATTCCCGGATAAAGGAGGAGGGTTGGGCATGGGGTTAGCGTCCCCATCCCGTAGAAAACTAACTCGCTAAAAAAACGCTAACTAGAAAAAATTATTAAAACCTTTTAAACTCTGTCCTGGGAGTCAGAAGGTCTTCATTTAGAAGAACTATGACGCCTCATGATGAAAGCCGAATTCCTTCGGAAGTTACGAGGCCGATGCACCTTCTGACAACCAGAGCGACCATTTATTTAGGTTCATGGAATGTTCGTACAATGTAGGACACCGGGAGAGTCTTCCAAATTGCTGCAGAAATGGGAAGATACAACCTAGATGTACTTGGGATCAGTGAAACACATTGGACGCAAGTTGGACAACAACGACTAACTTCAGGAGAGCTCCTGTTATACTCCGACCATGAAGAAAAAATGCCCCACATACACAAGGAGTTGTATTGATGCTGTCCAAACAAGCGCAAAATGCACTTATAAGATGGGAATCTCATGGACCAAGGATCATCAAAACCTCCTTCAAAACAAAGAAAGAGGGCATTTCAATGAACATCATCCAAAGCTATGCGCCTACCAACGACTACAATGAAGACGCTAAAGATCAATTCTATAATAGGCTGCAGTCAATCATCGAGAAGTGCCCAGCAAAGGACCTGACCATTCTGATGAGCGATTTCAACGCCAAGGTTGGAACGGACAACACTGGATGTGAAGACATCATGAGACGACACGGACTGGGAGAAAGAAACGAAAATGGTGAGATTTACAAACCTATGTGCCTTCAATAAACTGGTCATAGGCGGCACCATATTCCCACATAAACGCATACACAAAACCACATGGACTTCACCGGATCACACCACGCAAAACCAAATCGACCATATTTGCATCAACAAAACGTTCAGGAGGACGATGGAGGACGTGAGAACCAAGAGAGGAGCTGATATAGCATCAGATCATCACTTGCTGGTCGCCAAGATGAAATTGAACCTCAAGAAGCACTGGACAATGGGGCGGACAATATCACAAAAGTTCAATATCGCCTTTCTCCAGGATACTAACAAACTCAACAAATTCAAGATAGTCCTCAGCAATAAGTTCCAAGCCTTTTATGATCTACTCAATGGAGAAGTAACTACTGTGGAGAGCAACTGGAAGGGGATCAAAGAGGCAATCACTTCAACATGTCATGAAGTCCTGGGCCACAAGAAGCACCATCACAAGGAATGGATCACTGTCGATACACTGGATAAGATTCAAGAAAGGAGGAACAAGAAGGCAGCAATCAATACCAGTCGAACAAGAGCAGAAAAAGCCAAGGCACAAGCTGAATACACAGAAGTAAACAAACAAGTGAAGAGGAGCATCAGAACCAACAAACGTAAATATGTGGAAGATTTAGCGACGACGGCGGAAAAGGCTGCAAGAGAAGGAAACATGAGACAATTGTATGACATAACAAAGAAACTCTCTGGGAATCGCCGCAAACCAGAACGACCAGTGAAAATCAAGGAAGGCGAGGTAATCACCAACATTGAGGAGCAACAAAACAGGTGGGTAGAACACTTCAAAGAACTCTTGAATCGACCAGCTCCACTGAACCCACCCAACATCGAAGCAGCATCCACGGACCTCCCAATCAATGTTGGCCCACCAACAATTGAAGAAATCAGCATGGCCATCAGACAAATCAAGAGTGGCAAAGCAGCAGGACCGGACAACATTCCAGCAGAGGCACTAAAAGAAGACGTAGCGGCAACTGCAAAGATACTCCACATTCTCTTCAATAAGATTTGGGATGAGGAACAAGTACCAAAAGACTGGAAAGAAGGACTCCTAATCAAAATACCGAAGAAAGGCGATCTCAGCAAGTGTGATAACTACAGGAGCATCACTCTTCTCTCAATACCGGGAAAAGTCTTCAACAGGGTATTGTTAAACAGGATGAAGGACTGTGTAGACGCCCAACTTCGTGACCAACAGGCAGGATTTCGTAAGGGTAGATCATGTACAGACCAAATCGCAACTCTACGGATCATTGTGGAACAATCAATTGAATGGAATTCATCACTCTACATCAACTTCATCGACTACGAAAAGGCATTTGATAGCGTGGACAGAACAACACTATGGAAACTTCTTCGACACTACGGCGTGCCCCAGAAGATAGTCAATATCATACAGAACTCATATGATGGATTACACTGCGAAATCGTGCATGGAGGACAGTTGACAAAGTCGTTCGAAGTGAAGACCGGTGTCAGGCAAGGTTGCTTACTCTCACCCTTTCTCTTTCTCCTGGCGATCGACTGGATCATGAAGACGTCAACAGCAGCCTCAGCAGCAGTAGGTCTCAATACACACAAAGGGAAAAGCAAGATTCTCCGATACAACACAGCATGCACCAATCCAATCACAATTGACGGAGAAGATTTGGAAGATGTAAAACCCTTTACATATCTGGGCAGCATCATTGATGAACAGGGTGGATCTGATGCAGATGTGAAGGCGCGGATCGGAAAAGCAAGAGCAGCATATTTACAACTGAGGAACATCTGGAACTCAAAGCAACTGTCAACCAACACCAAGGTCAGGATTTTCAACACAAATGTCAAGACAGTTCTACTGTATGGGGCAGAAACCTGGAGAACTACGAAAGCCATCATCCAGCAGATACAGGTGTTTATTAACAGCTGTCTACGCAAAATACTTCAGATCCGTTGGCCGGACACTATTAGCAACAACGTACTGTGGGGGAGAACAAACCAGATCCCAGCGGAGGAAGGAATCAGGAAGAAGCACTGGAAGTGGATAGGACACACATTGAGGAAAGCACCCAACTGCGTCACAAGACAAGCCCTCACATGGAATCCTCAAGGCCAAAGGAGGAGAAGAGGAAGACCGAAGAACACATTACGCCGAGAAATGGAAATAGACATGAGAAAAATGAACAAGAACTGGATGGAACTAGAAAAGAAGGCCCAGGACAGAGTGGGTTGGAGAATGCTGGTCGGCGGCCTATGCTCCATTGGGAGTAACAGGCGTAAGTAAGTAAGTAATTATGAGTAAATTTTTATCGTATAATTGTTATGTAACTAAACTGTTCATATTCATCTCCCTCTTATTATGAGCTTTATTTTGACCTATGAACTATTATTATACTATTTACCATTCATGAATTATTCCCTGTCTGTCAATCGCTACCTCCTTCATTCACAGTCACATCTGGCTAATTCTTGTACAAATGTTGTTTCATATTTTATTGGTGCGTTGTGGTCGGTTTGATTGGTATATAAACTCAGTATGCTTGAAATATAATGATTTATATCTCAGAGGCTGAGACTTGCGTTCTGGACTCAACTGGCTGAGCTAGACAGGGAAGCAGGACTCTAGGTCGCTCGCACGTGTTTATGCGTCATTGGTTCAATCGGTAATTCGCTGCCGTCTAATCTGCAGTCACAGTTATAGCACATTCATAAATATTCTGCACTTATATGCCCTTGTATGTCCGAGTTTGTTGTGCCCGCTCTCCTCCGGGAAATGTTCTCATACGGGCACGCGTACACAGCCTCTGTCAGGGATGTCTTACTCATTGCCTTCTCGTGGCGGGAGTGTTGTTTACGAAAATGAGAGGACGAAAAGCGAATGTCCGGTGATAACCATAGAGGTATTAGTTTAACTAATATAGTATCCAAAATACTAGCCTCGATAATTATCAGACGCCTAACAAAAACTCATGAGCCGGAAACACGATAAAATCAGGCTGGTTTCAGACCTGGTCGTGGCTGCATCGACCACATATTCACCATTCGTCAGGTTCTAGAACAAAGGCATACTTATCGGAGTCCGACAATGGTGGTCTTTCGTGACTTAAAAGCAGCATTTGACTCGGTAGACCGCGAGATTCTGTGGCAGTATCTGTCATTGAAAGGCGTACCCCAGAAGTACATAAACCTTGTGAAGGCTCTTTACTCGAGCACTACCAGTCGAGTTAGAGCTTATGCCGAACTGTCATCTGTTTCTGTAACCTCAAGTGGTGTCCGGAAGGGCTATCAGTTATTTATATTTTCGTTTAGCTTCATCATAGACCTACTGACGGAAATAACGTTCTCGTCGACTGAATCTTTGGGCATTGATCTCCTACCAGGTGGTCCACTTATTGACTTAGAATACGCAGATGATATAGTCCTTTTTGGTGAAGACGCTGATAAAGTGCAGTCTTTTCGTAGCACTGAGTAACGATGCCAGGATGTTTGGGATGCGATCCTCCACCTCTAAATGCAAGTTGTTGCTTCAGGACTGGTCTGAGTCAACACCCGAACTAAGGATAAGGAGTGAAGTACTTCTAGGTCTACAGAGTGCTTATTCTGCCCTCGTACTTAGTGCTATACCTACACTTGCCAGTCCACGAAAACTAGCCCTCTTCAGGTACCCTAGAATCACGTACCATTGATGTATCCTGTCTCCAAAACCCGCATATAGGATCCTAGTGTGTTCCTTCACCTGAGCTCACCTCGCCAAAACGGAGAGCAGACAGGATACACTTCCGTGTGTCTGGCGACCCGATGGCCAGTTTTCGTGGACTGGCAAGTGTAGGTATAGCACTAAGTACGAGGGCAGAATAAGCACTCTGTAGACCTAGAAGTACTTCACTCCTTATCCTTAGTTCGGGTGTTGACTCAGACCAGTCCTGAAGCAACAACTTGCATTTAGAGGTGGAGGATCGCATCCCAAACATCCTGGCATCGTTACTCAGTGCTACGAAAAGACTGCACTTTATCAGCGTCTTCACCAAAAAGGACTATATCATCTGCGTATTCTAAGTCAATAAGTGGACCACCTGGTAGGAGATCAATGCCCAAAGATTCAGTCGACGAGAACGTTATTTCCGTCAGTAGGTCTATGATGAAGCTAAACGAAAATATAAATAACTGATAGCCCTTCCGGACACCACTTGAGGTTACAGAAACAGATGACAGTTCGGCATAAGCTCTAACTCGACTGGTAGTGCTCGAGTAAAGAGCCTTCACAAGGTTTATGTACTTCTGGGGTACGCCTTTCAATGACAGATACTGCCACAGAATCTCGCGGTCTACCGAGTCAAATGCTGCTTTTAAGTCACGAAAGACCACCATTGTCGGACTCCGATAAGTATGCCTTTGTTCTAGAACCTGACGAATGGTGAATATGTGGTCGATGCAGCCACGACCAGGTCTGAAACCAGCCTGATTTTATCGTGTTTCCGGCTCATGAGTTTTTGTTAGGCGTCTGATAATTATCGAGGCTAGTATTTTGGATACTATATTAGTTAAACTAATACCTCTGTTGTTGTCACAGGATGATTTTGACCCTTTCTTATATATTGGGACGATAAGTGATTGTGACCAGTCAGATGGAATAACATCTAACTACCAGATCTTAGCTAAAATATTAGTCAACCTAATCGCTAAAATTGGACCACCATCCTTAAAGACCTCTGGAGTCAATTCATCTTGACCAGCCGCCCTTCCTCGTTTCAGATTAACTATAGCCTTTTGAACTTCTGCTAGGATTGGGAGACCTACTTTATTATTCCATTCACACTGTCTGGGAATGGAGGGTAGTTGTAGAGTAGCTGAAATAGTCCTTATTGTTCTGCCCATCTTTCTAAACGTCTGGGTTGAGGGCAGATAAATGTCTTCTTTTCCTGAGATCGTCTCACTTACACTTGACTTATTAATTCCAATTCCTTTCATTAGTCTGAAAAGCTGTCTTGTGTTACCTACAGTCGCTGCCTTTTCCATCTCTTTTGCTTCCGTTGCCCACCACTGCTCACGGTCGTTTCTTAGACTTTTTCTTAACCTAGATCTGATTTGTTTTCGCTCTTCATCATGTTCGGAACCTGATGGGACGAGTTTACGAGAATCCATCAGTGTGATAGACTTTGAAGAAATCCACTGGTTCTTTGTAACTCTGTGGTTTAAGTCGCTAATAGATGTCACTGCCGTTTCCACAGCTGCTTGTATGTCTTTCCACGCAACATCTGGGTCAGCCTCGTCTTCAGAACTACCTAATTGTGACCTCAGTTGTTCTTGGAACCTATTTTTGGTTTTCTCGTTACTCAACTCAATTCTAATGTGGCTTTTTTGCGTCCAGTGAGGCGCAAGCGGATGCGTGCCCATATTAGGGCGTGGTCGGAGTCCAAGCAGGTACTCCAGAATGAGCGACAATCTTCTACCGAAAATAGCAGGAACGGTAGTGGAACATCGGAGACACAAAGATAGACAGCTACATTATTAAGGAAGTGTCTGTACTCTTATTCTTGTGTCACAGTAATTTAGTGGTAGGAGTGGGCCACAATCTTAAAACCAGGGTCCACTACCGTACGTTTATAACTAATGGGATAAGAACTCTAAGGGCCTAAAGGTGGACACGTACCAAATTGAATACAATTATGCTCATCACGGTATACATAATTTTAGTGAGATAAAGACTTAAAACCTACGTTCAGGTTGTAAGCCTCTATCCCAAAAGAGAATTGGACAGATGTGTATAATTCCAGAAGTTCAAAGTTTACCCTACACAGAGGGGCCTAAGAAGTTAGACCTCTTTACTCTGTCCTGCTACACATTAGGATGATCTGATTTTGATGCATCAAATATTTAGGAACGATTCCGGATCTGACATATCCTCCCATTTTTCTCACCAGATTAGGACAATTCACAGGATATCGCAGGGGAGTACAGAAACCAAGAACGAACAAAATAGCTGCGGTATACAGATCTCCACGACTCATCAACTCTTGAAATCTAATACCTGAAGAAATGATTTCGCCGACCTTCTATCCTCAATAAACAGATCTTAATCTTACGATAATCTAACTAGTCATAATGTACAAAACAGAGTTCTTAATCAGTGTTAGAAAGTGAGACTAGAATTTAAGGTAAGATACTAGAACCATGGTTTTCATTACGAACTGACATCAGCTATAATGGGAGAATACTTTGTAGTCATATGAATGGATGGATTCCACGCAAAAGGTCCTAGAGATACTACATTAAATCTAATTGGTTTGCCCATGAAGTTTAGTTTAACCCTACAAGCGACCTGAAGTCTGTATAAGACCAAGTGACTCACCAACAATAAATCCGTTAGTTTTTACTGAGAATAGAAGGCGCAATAACCACAAAACATATCTAAAGTATCTAAATTCACACTAAAGCAGAACAACTATGAACCTGATAAATAAACAATTTAAAGTACAGTATTAGCTATGAGTTCTGTTTACTCAAAGTGCAAATTGTCACAATTAATCTTGTGAAGGCCGGATGAATTCAATGGGTTCCTCGTAATATTTTGCATAGAAATAACCCACTAAAGTGGTATACAACGCCGTCATAAATAGTACTCCCCAAACTCCTTTATGATCATTCCTCAATTCAGTGGCAGACATCATAGATTCACGATCAGAATGCTTCGCCCAGAACTCATTTAACGTTCGGTTGTGTTGTTTTACATAGAATGATTTAAAGCTGTCTGTGCTTCTGTCTTTTACAGAGTCAATTGTGTAACCGGCCTTAGAGAAGTGATGCACGCCGCTGCCTATCGTATGAATTAGGCCACGGTCATATTCACTCCGTTTAACAGGATTTCCAAGGATTTCATAAGCTTTTGTCAACTCATGAAACTTTTCTCTAGAGTTAGGATCATCAGTCACATCAGGATGGTATATTTTTGACAGTCGATAGAAGGCTTCTTTGATATCTTGGTGAGTCGCATTGCTTGAGAGCCCGAAAACACTATACAATGAGTCAACTTTTGAGGAGAATACAGCTGATAATCTGTGATTGATACTGGTAGATACGAGTGAAGGAAATTTCGTAGCTAAATGAAACTAAAGTTGGCGAGATGAAAAGTTCACAAACAAAACGTTACCATTTAAGTTACCCGCTACGGTTTAAATAGTCCAAATCGTTCTGGACGGAATAGAAGAAGCTTTCGCTTAACAGGCTTCCATGTTTAGTAGCGGTGGGTCAACGATACCTCCAGGCAGGAACTTAGATATATTATCGATAGAAGAGAAGAATGAAAAAAGCTGTTGCACCACAGTAAGATACTGTCCTTAGTCTTTAAGAATATGTCAAGTTTTCTACTAAAGGACTCCTTGGAAGTCGCTTGGACTAACTCAGACGGCAGCGAATTCCAGTATCTGACCGCTCTGCCGCGCCGTATCTCCAGTTTCCGGGTGATGCCCCTAAGTTTTGTGTTAGGACTAAGCTTAAGTAGAAGTGTTTAGGATGCTGTAAGCCACTAGAATGTCACTTCTAAGACGCCCGTACTATAATGGGTAAAAGTTCAGTGATTGGAGGCAATCTTCATAAGACATAAATTTGAGTCCATGAACTGATTTCGTAACTCATTGGACATGGATCCATTGGAGATGTTCCAATTTTGAAGTGAGAGAGGAAATTCTATATTTCCATGCTATAAGTGGGGTTGAGTAAAGATATTAAAAATGAAATAAGAAGTTCCTTCGACGGACTGGCCGAAAATGCACTTCAGCGTTGACAGTGCGTGATTTGCTAGGAAGGCACTTCTGTTTCAGCTAGCGTAAGACTTCAGATCATAGGGTATTTACACTTCCAGGTCCTTTTCAACTTGGAATACCTTTAGAGAGGAGCTATACAAGTTGTATCCACAGTCCGTAACATGACTCAGATGGACTACTTTACACTGAAGTGTTAGAGTTAAGTACGTTGTTGTCTGCCCGACTTTGAAGTCGAGTCAGATCCTTCCAAAGTACCAGCTTATCATTATGGTTGTAAACTTCCCTCTAGAGTTTCACATTGTCAGAGAAAAGTAATAAATCCAACGACACCTGCTGTGGAAGATCGTTCAGATAAAATGAGAGAAGAGGTCCTATTACCGAACCCTGTGAAACCGCACCAAAACACTCCGTAGCCTGAGAAAAAGTGAAGTTTACCCTGAATTTAAAAATTCACTTATTCAAACATGAAGTAAGCCGGTCAATTATTAGAGACTCGATACCTAATCGTTTGAGTTTATTGATAAGAAGTATGAATGACCTCATCAAAAGCTCTCGGAAGGTCAAGATGTTTGACGTCAACCTTCCCCTTGAGATCAAGGATGGTTGTCCATCTGCCACCACAGTCATTAGGTTGGTTATACAAGAGTGACTTTTTCTGAGGTCGTGCTGTTGAGATGAAATAATTTTATAGATAACAAATAATCGTGTATGCCATCACATATCAGGAACTCCATAATTTTTGACGGTATAGAGAGAACCACCGGTCGGTAGCTTGAAGGTTCGTTGTATCGACCTCCTTTCAGAATTGGTGTGATGTGAGCAAGCTTTCAATTTTCGAGTAATGTGCCTCGGTTTAGCGAGTGTGAGAACATCATGCTAAGCGGTGTTGCCAGGATTGAAGCTGCTTCGCTCAGTATAGCAGAATGAACCATAATCAGGCCAGGAGAAGTGTCTTATTGGCTGCAATTAAATGCAACTCAATTTCGTAAATGTGCCCTTCAGCTTAGCAACCAATCAGAATGAGACGGGAATTATTACATCCGCCATCTTTGTAAGCAATGGCGGTCGGCTTTCTTCGTTCTGTGCTTCTTTCAGCTATTTCTTTTGTGTAGCTATGTAATTTAATGTCTCAGTGTGCTAAAATGCCGCAGTTAGTGTAATGTTCTATATGTTGGTGTGAAGTTTATTTCGAATCAGCGATGTTTTCTGGGTTTTTTGCTGCTTCTATTCAAGTCACTGTATTTCTTCGGGCAATCTGGCTAGTCTTATGTTATAAAATGTCGGCCGGCTTTCTTCGTTCTGTGTTTTTTCCGCTATTTCTTTTGTGTAGCTACAGAATTTGATGTTTCAGTGCGCTAAAATCCAGAAGTTAGTGTAATACTCTGAACATTGGAGCAAAATTTTTCCTGATTTTGCTTTGTTTTCTGGGTTTTACCTTCTGCTAATGAAGTCACTGTATTTATTCAGCTAATCTGGCTAGTACTAACATAAGACCTTATGGTTTTAAACGACAATCGGTTGTTTTTCCTTGTTTTCTAGATATCCAAAGTTCGTTTTTATTTAGCTAAAATAATTGTTGCTGCCGCCTGTTAGCATGTTCGTTCCTAACTGTCCTTTATAATGTTATCGGCAAAATGAAAGGAAATAATCTGCGTTTTTTAATTTTCTTCAGTATTATGGACAACACTATCCCACCAACGAGTCAAACTAATGCAGAGTGCCCAGCAGTAGGGTATATCGGTACTGATTTCGAAAGGACCCAGACTTCCGACAACTATAGATGAAGTCGCAGATGCTACCAATCTATTGCAGAGGGTTTGTTATGAAAAATATGCCATATAACAGCAATAGAGGGGTTGTACTGATTACTCAGTGCGTTAAAGCAAGCTTAACATTGAAATGCCGGAAATCTGCTACCAGTGTGTAGTGTATGTTTGCTGTTTTGGCCATAAAAGGAAGCCGAAGTGTCATGATCAGGGGGTAAAAAGGTAATTAACTGTTATTAAGCTCACTTTTTTATAGATCATATTTCACCACTCGCAAATTTTCTTAGGGTATGATGTCAACTGGTACCCAATATGTTCACCCTTACGATGAAAAGAACCTGCAAATTTCCACCTTCATATTCGAATTATTTTTGGACAACTGTCTTACAGTCTGAGTGCTTCGGACGCCCCGAGAAACTTTATTTCTACAACATTCGTAGTTCCAGTATAACTTTCTCACGCAGTAAGTTCAACTTAGACACTAGTCTTTCTAAATAAGCCTGTTAAGCTAATATCCGTATTCTCTATTTCACTTAATGTATGAAGACATGTACAATGTGCATCTGCAGTATACTTCCATTTTAATCTAATTCTAACTGTTATATCTTTTGAATAATAAAATTGCTATATGCAGCAAATACAGACATATTTGTTTTGATGGAGGTAGGGGGTTTATGGGATTTTCAGCAATACCGTATTAATATTCTCACTAAAGAGCTAAGCGAGTGCGTAAACCAGTTTAAGGTACCATACGGGGTGCATTTGAGTTACTAGTGTCCCATTAGTGCGGGTAGGTTATTGCTTGCTTGTCATATGGCATTTTAATTAGAAGCTATAAGATGAGACGCAGGTACGGTTAGGATGTGTAACGCGGGCAACTAAAAGCTCAGACACTTAACTATCTTGCTACCGACGTTATTGCTGGGGAAATTGTTTAATGACAGTGATCATGAAATATGGTCAGTGATAGATGTACAGTTTAGAAATAAACACCAAACATACTTATCGCTATCTTATAATGTATGACAGCAACAGCATCAATGGCACGTTTTTTCCTATTTTTAATCAGACTGATCTGAATCCGCATACACATTAGAAACATGCAACCCCGCTTACTAAACTGATCTGTTTCGTTACAAGCTTCAAGCACTATACTTAAGTATATCATAATTCTTTCAACTAGACTGAATTACACGACAACCAAGAACACTAAACTAAGCAAGTGTCATAGTTATTGTTTCACTTGCAAAGACATGTTGCTCAAAGTAGTTAAATGGACATATTTAAGCCGATAAAACCAAAACACGAAATATAGGCCAGTTGAACTTACCTAAGAAAAAAAGAAGGATACATATATACTGCTTTCATACTGAAGACAACAGGCAGTTGTTCATAGAAACATAGTTTACAGCACAACAAACCTCTCTTCAGTAAAATCATGCACTGACAGTCTATCTGGAAACAATCAACTATGTGAATAAACTCACTATGACTTGAGATATCATCCCAGCGTGCAATGGACGTACAGTGTAACGCAGTCAGACGTGGCGAATAAAAACTAAAAACAGAGCAAAATTAACCACATAATCTAGTTGTTTAATTAAAAATACATTATGAAATGACAAAATATGTGGTTACTTGAACGCACAAATGACAGTGTGCGATACATTAAGTTTACATGGTTGCGTTGCGGATAAGATCACCCGTCTTATTTAGGTGCTGCAGTTTCCGGTACGCCAAGTCATCTCCCATTTTCACTTTTGGAAATCCTGTGCAGTTGCAGATAAAGCTTTACTCAACACAGTTAGTCTGGGTTGGTTGAAATGTATGAGCACTGTTCTGACAGAAAGTTAGCGGCGTCCCCGTCGTTGTTGGTCGGGTTATTTAGACCTAGCGGTTGAGAAACTCCGGTTTTGGCTTGTCGAAGGGAGGCTGCATCACGAAAAAAGCTTTTGAGGTAGGAGACGAATTTATCGGTAAGCTTTATGTGGTACTGAAACTTATCTTCTCTTGTTGCATTTATGTGTATGTGTCTTGTTTTTTGAACTGCCTGTTTGCACCGTTGTCACCAGTTCGTTTTTATTTCACCCAGCAGTAAATTTTACGGCTTAGCAAACAAAGAGTATGGTTTTTGATGTTTTAGTTCGGTTTTCAATGGTAAACATAGAAGGTCTTTCAACCCATATTAATCCTTGCAATTTGCAACACTGTGAAGGTCCAATCTCACTTTGAATCTACTAACAGTGGTTTTTGGCTCTCTGAATTAATTTTATCGTATTGGTCATTTATCACGCCTCAAAACTGCTGTTTTTGCTTTAATTGAATTTATTTCACTTAAAGTAGTTTCCAAGACTATTGTTTTTTATTAAAACAATTTATCAGCTAAGCTTTTTGAGTGCCAAAACAAATAGAGTAATGATATTTTTTCTCGTTCAGTAAATCTTTAAGTATTTTTTGTATCCAAAGTTGTAAAGGCTTTTCTGTCTTTATACATGTTAAATTTTTGTTTTCAGTTAAAGTAACATATAAACCTCGGCTTTTCATGTTCAGTGTCTATCACCTCTGTTGAGTCGGCTTCCGGAGAACTTCAACGGAGCCTTCAGAGGCCCCAAAAGAGCCGAAGGGTCCTGGCCAATCAGAGTATGATGGAACTT